CTTCTTCCAGTTACACAATTGACTCATTGTGCTCACGACAGTTGGGGTGAGTGTCACCTTTTCTCTCCCCAGCCTTCCACTCAAAACAGGGGAGTGGCTGTATTCAGTCATTCTTTTGTCATTTATTATACTGCCTCCTGTGAGCAAGGCCCAGACTACAGAGCAGGAGAAGTTATCTGTTTTCTAGCAAAGGACAAAAGCCATTAACTCATAAAAAAAATTAGCTAAAGTAAAAAGCAATTTAATTTGGGGTTTTTGTTGTTGCTGTTTTAAATTTTCTTTCCAAGCACTTTCTATTCTCTTGCTTTTGAATTCAGTCCTTATTGGTAATATAGTGTCAAACTGTTCTGGGATGGAATGGGGTGGGGCAGATTAAAAAGCTGAAAAAATAATGGTGCGGTGGCTCACACCTGTAATTCCACTTACGCAGAAGATGTAGGTAGGAGGATAGTGGTCTAAGTCTAGCCCTAGACAAAAACATCTGGAAAAAAAAAAAAAAGAATTTCAAGTAATAGAGCACCTGCCTAGCAAGTTCAAGACCCCTGAGTTCAAACTCCAGTACTACAAAAATAAATAAATAAAAACAGGCCAGTCCTCTAGGAACTTAAGAGTCCAACCAGGAATGGTCCACTTGTTCTCAATCCATATGGAGAGGGGCAGGCAGAAAAACTAGTGAACTTCGGAAAAAACCTGAATCCTTGAAAATAGCTAATTTGGGTAGCCCCAAATCATGGAGGAAAACAGAGACAGAGTGGACTTTTTTTATTACTCTGAATCAGTGGCACCTGGATCTTATTCCTATGTTTGTGTGCCCTTCTGAGAAGGAACCTGCCTCCCTGGCATCCACAGCCTGGGGCACCAGATAGTCTGCCACTCAGATGGATTCACCTGAAACGCTGAACTTAAAGGTGGCCATACAGAAACTGTGTAGACTACTTAGGGCCCTGAGACACTGTAGAATTCAGAGTCTGAAACACCCAGCTTCTAGAAAAGCCAGCTTCTATTCCCGCTCCCACCCCCCATTTTACAAATACAGTGTGGAAATAAACAAAGACCAATTCCAGGGAAACAGGCAAAGGCTACGTATTCAGAGCTTGCTCTGTGTAATGAACAGTTGCCCGCCATCACCAGAGACTCAAGGCAGGCAGGGGAGTATGGGAATGGAAGACTTTAGGTGTTCTCTGATTGGAGAGTCCTGGCCTGGGGAAGTTATACTAGGCTAACTAGATATTTGGTTTTCTCTGGTTGGTCCTAAGTTGGAAGCAGGAACAAAAATTAGGGAAATGAAGTTATTAATCAAGTCCTGGCTATTTTGGGCCAACTGCAACAAGGGCTATTGCTTCCTGGGCTCACTAATGGAGAGAGTTGTCTAACTTCTCACAAGTCTTAATTAAAGATGGCACCAGGCTGGCTTGCCAGGTTGGATATTGCAGGTATTGGGCTGGCTTCCTGGACTGGTTGCAATAGATTGTGGGTCAGAGTTGTTTTTACCTATGGTCTGGCCATTGTCTGTTCAATCTCTCAGCAGAAACTGAGGCAGAAAGGGCGAGTGGCTTATCCAAGATCTATAGCTCATTATAATCAGAACTGATAAGTCAGTCTGAGGTCAAGCATATTTATCTTGTCATCTCCCAAGGAACTTACATCCTGCTTTTTGAAAAGACATGGTTTAGATTCATGGGAAACCACAATCAACACAATCGTCATACAGACAAATCATACCAGGAGATTAATGGTTAGTTCCCCAACTTGGCAGGGAGTCTCAACACTTTCCCCTGACATGGCCAGAGCCACTATTGGTCGAGTACTTTCTGTGTCCGGGGTGTTGCATCCATCCTGCAATGTAAGGTGGCAAAAGTTTGGTTTTCTACCTGTCTACCTGTGGCATATTTGACCTCTACCATAGGTAGTGTGTGAACTTGAAAAAGACTCCTTACCTCTCAGGTCTTGCGTTTCCTCATCTGTGAAGAGGGAATAGTAACCACTATCTCATTGTGCTCTTGTGCAAATAAAATAAGTAGAAACTTGCAACATATGTGGAGCTGTGCCTGCCATATATTAAGTCCCTCTTCAAGTTAGCTGTTACAAGTCCATTTAGTCCTCACATTGTCCCGTGTGGTGGGCAAAATAGTCCTCACTTTTTAAGTAAAGATATTGAGGATGGTTATGTTGTTCGTCCAAAATAGCAAAGGTCATGATTTTCACTCATGTCTCTAGGAAGATGGAGCTCATTTATTTCTACTGTGCTTCTGACCTCAAGATAGCACTATTTGGGGGAAAAAGACAGTAGGGTTGGAATGTATGTAGGTCTGTGGACTCAGGCTGCCTGCACTTGGGTCTAAGTTCTGTTCTATATTAGCTGCAAAATCTTGCAAAAATTACTTACCCTCTCTGGGTACATTATCACAGGTGATAATACACCTACTGTTTTAATTAAATACCAGAATATATGTGAAGTTCCCATGACAGTGCCTGGAACAGAGTGTTACTTAATAATGACAGCAATCATGAATTTACAGTATTCCCCATTATCCTTAAGGGATATATCCCAAGCTCCCCAGTAGGTAACTGAAACCTGGGAGTTTGAAACCCTGTATATAGTCATCCCTTGCTATGCAAGACCTTCCCTCCCAAGGATGTCAAAATCCATGAATGAGTAAATCTCTTGTATAACACAGTGCAGTACTTGAACATAACCTAAACACACCCTCCAGTATACTTTCAATCATCTCTATTATCTATAATATTTATTTTATCTATAATACCTCATTTGATGTAAATGCTGTATAAACAGTTGTGATGCTGTATTATTTAAGGAATAAAGACAAGATAACAGTCTGTACATGTTCAGTATAGACACAGTTTTTTTTCAAATATTCTTGATCCACAGTTGATAGCATCCGTAGACACAGAACCCTCAGACACAGAGGACCAACTGTACTATTTTTCCCTCTACATCTATACCTGTGATAAAGTTTAATGTATAAATTAGGCACAGTAAGAGATTAGCAACAATAACTGATAACAAAATAAAATAACTTTATTTTTTGGGGGGAGGAAAAGACAGTACTGTACTGTAATGTACTGTACTGCAATGTACTGTAATGAAAGTTATTTAAAACTTACAAATTGTTTATTCCTGGAATTTTCCATTTAATGTTTTCAGACAGTGGCGGACCACAGTTAATTGCAATGGCATTAGTTTGCATTAGGTGAAAATGAGGACCAGGTGAGACTGCTGTATTGTTATTAGAAGGTGCTATCCTAAGCATTCCTTAGAGTCTGTCCCTCTTCAGCCCCACATTCATGAAATTGCCCTTAACCCCCAATCTCGTTCGAAGTCTCCATTGTTGAATTTCCCATTAGCACCAGATAAGTCAAGCAGTGAGGAGACAAATGTCTTTGAAAAGATAAATGGGTCCTGGAGAGATAATGAAAACTGAGTCATGATTTGAACCCAACAAAATATCTAAAAAGATAAAGGTGATTACTATGGGTAGTGGGATGATAAGTGCTTTCAATTTTCCTCTTTATATTACTCTGTATTTTCCAAATTTTCTTTATTGAGTAGTTATTATATGTATACTGAGGGGGAAAATAATGAAGTTATTAAAAGACTATCAGGATTCAGGCACAGGAGAAGGAACAGAAATTATAGGCAACAAAGAAGAGCTGGCTGTAGAGTCTGGGAGCCATCCTCATCAGAGGTTGGGAAAATAAAGGTCCAGGATTGGACATTCAGAGTGAGGTGGGAAAGAAGGAGGGATCCAGGTTGGGTCAGAACTCCCTTCTAGGAGTCCAGGGAATCTCAATCTGAAGAGGTCCTGGAAAGAATATTTTAACTGAACAGCTGGACACAAAGACAAAGATTTGATCCAGCAATAACCTAGGGCTGACCAGAATCCAAAATGAAAGGACCTAAAAAGAGGGCTCACATCCCTCCCTGGGAAGGTTCTGGAACTACACTCTGCACCGTTGTGTTTTAAACACTTATCCAGAGCCTCATGCCCATGAGGTGTCTAATCATGACCCTTGATGCAAGAGTGTGTGAAGTAGAGGTGAGAAAGAAAACCAGGCACAGAGAGGACAGTGCTCCAAGTCAATGAGCCAAGAACAGGAATGGTAGACACCCCTCACTCACTCGCTGTCCCTTATTGGAAGACAGTTTTAGAATCAGAGATGTGAGTGAATTAAGGAGAGCTGGGTCTACAACCATAGCACCCTGAACACACCTGATCTCATCTGATCTTGGGAGCTAAAGCAGGGCCTGGTCTGGTTAGTACTTGGATGGGGGAAAGAGAGATGGGAAGATATTCACAGGAGAAAGAAGACCCAGCTTCTCAAGTGTGACTTCCTTCCCGAAGAGCACGAGGACCTGCGCAAACTAAGATTCAAGCCCACCCTCCAAATTGTTTCTGTCTGGAAGCATTTTCAAACTCAAAGCAGATATTATGCAAAGAAAACTTTATTTGTAGAAATACATATTGAACAGGCAGGATTCCATAGCTGGAAGATACATGATTGGGTAGTTGTACCACAGGTCTGTAATTTCACCTCGGGACAACTTCTTCCAGTAAATAGCCATTAGTTCAATTTATAATATAGAGTACTGGCAGCATAAAATATGTCCGTAGTTTAGTTTAAAAAAATAACAACTAAACCCTCTAGCCACTCTTCTAGAATTCAGAGGATTTGTTTATTGTATAAAAATACATCACCTACTCTAGTCAGGTTATAAATATAATCTGTAATTTTTTAAGTCTCAAAAAAATAAATAGAAGCTCAATAGCAAAAAATAAATAAATATATTAATGATTAAATAAAACAATAGAGAAGCTATTATAAAAATCTTATAAAATTATGGGCTAAATTCAGATTAGGAACACACAAAGACAAGCACATTAAGGAAATAATAAATAAATAGCATACACTGTGACCAGCACTAAATTATATGGCAAAGAGATGGTAGTTTTGGGATCATGTCTCCATGGCATTAAGGACCCTTGGCCACGAATATTCTCAGCAGTGTCATCATTGTCCTCCTGTTTCTTCCATCCATCGAAGAAGAATATCTAGTTCCCCCAAAGCCTTCACTACTGCTGCCCAAGGCTCAAGCTGAAAGAGGCGTACGTGCCTGAGGTTAGTGACTTAAAGACATTTGCTCTAAGGATTGCTCTCTCCTATTGGTAGCTCTGTTGGAGATTGTAAGCATTCTTTTCAAGATGAATAGCTTGAAAGAAGTGATAAAATGTCAAGATCTCACATGAGGAAAGGAAGTCATGGCACCCTGGTCTTACCTAGGGAAACTGAGGCTCAAGGGATAACATCATTGGCATTACAACCAAAGCCTATTGGCTCACAAAGATACAAGTAATTAGGCTAGTGGTGTGTATGTGTACAGGTTGCCTACTGGGCATACTTAAATTGAATAAACACTGGTCATGCCAAGCATTGGGCTGGTGGCTATGGATTCAGAGGTAAATAGTACCATGTTTATCCATGAATAGTACCATGTTTATCAAAAGAGGGAGACAGGGAGGAGCAGCAACTGAAATGCAGCATGGTGAATAAATGATAGAGTCCCCACAGGATGCAGGTGGTACCTAGCTCTAGGAGAAGCAGCCAGCACCTTCCTGGAAGTGATGCCTAGGCTAAGTTTCAGAGGAGGAGGAGTTAAGTCAATGAGGAGTGCACCCAGGACTTCCTGGCAGATAAGCAGAAATGCTGAGGTGAGAAACAGCACAGCATGGGTGTGTGTGATATTGTGAGTGAGTGTTTTTGAAGGTATGTGTAAATGTGTGAATGCTGGAAAACTGTTGTGTTTCATTGTGTAGCTGGAAGATACAGATGTCTCTGGAGTGACTTGGAGTTATAGCCAGTCCCTTTCCATCCCCAGACCATTATGCAGAGAAAGAACTCTTCTAGAGCCCGGGCAGATGCCCCTAGGCTAAAGAAAGGGATGGTCCATGTGACAGCTGAGAGCTGTTAGCCTGAGGGCTACAGGACTTCCACCAGCCTGAATACCCCTCCCACCCATCTGTAATCTCAGTTCTAAAAAACACACCCATCCCAACCAATTCCAAATGACATATACCTCTTCAAAGTGACTCAGAATCTGGCTGTATTTCTCCGTCGCTTCCTCCCCACAATGGCATGTCATGTGGGCATGCTGAAAGGACACAAAAGATGATAGATTTTATTACAAATTCTTATTTTCTGCCCTTGCCATTGACATAAGCAGCACTGTGTCTGTTTCCTCCACAATCTTGTAAATCCTCATTTCTGTAGAAAAGTCCTTTCAGACCTCATCACTAGGGATTATTAAACTAATCAGCTGGAACAGGAAGCCAGTTCTTCAGCCTCAAATGTGGAGCTTACTGCTTCCTTTTAGAAAGATGCAGGTCTGAGGGAGTCCACAGTGCCTGTGTCCCATCAGCAGAGAATGCTCTTGCCTAGGAGCTCCATCCCAGAGCCCAGCTGAAGTCTCCATGGAAAGAAAGGATTTGATTCTTAGGTCTTACTCAAACAGTGTTCTGTGACCAAGTCTAATAGCCTACTGATTAGCTGCCTGAAAACAGGATGCACTAGCAGGCTGTAGAATAACTCATCTACAGAAAAAGTTTAATTTCATGAATAACAAATAATTATCATTAATTATCAATAATTATCAAGTAGCTAGCACTTTATATTTCTTTAAACTTTGTAAAGTATTTTTCACAAAGCATAGACTCAAAAGTCAATGAAACTGTTTTTTAAGTAGATACAAGGTTCAACGCAGATTATGAGAACTTTTGGACTCAGTTTCTCCATCTACTAAGCAGGGATAAGACAGAGAGCATGGTTGCTAAATCATTGAAGTTATGTGCTAAGATGGGTCCTGTTACCCAAGATCCCCCACTCACACAGAGCCGGAGGTCCTTCTTGATGGTAAGAAAGGCATTGGCAAGACTGCTGATCTTCCGGAGGGTGTGAGGGTCAGGGGTCTGGTAGTTCTTGAATACCCTGTCCAGATAGAGTCTGAGTAAATGGCGGAGGAGACAGCAACGCTCAGATGGCTGCAAGGAAGACAAGCATGTTGGTGGGAGGACAAAGACAAAAACAGAGTGGTGGAGATGCTCCCCAGCCCACCTGGACGGGGCATATACCTTTGTGTCTTGCAAAGACTTAGTTCTCTTTAAGATTCTGATGTCAATGTTTTCATCTTCAGCTTGCTAGACAGAAGGAAAGGCAAGAAAGGACAGATAAGCAACTCCTGCCAGGGCCCAGTGGGAGAAATTCCTTTCCATAAAAAAAAATTTTTTTTGGTAACACTGGAGTTTGATCTCAGGACCTTTGCTTGATAGATAGGCACTCTACCTCTTAAGCCACAACTTCACCCCTTCCAAACGTTTTTAAATGATAAGATACAGCTAGCTCTTGGAATGCATAATCCTGGGACGGAGTTCTCAGCCTGTACACTGCCAGGGCTGTCTGGGGGAAGAGAGAGAGCCAGGAGGGAAAAAGGCAGGCATCCAGGAGAGGTGTGTAGATGCCTCCCTTACATACCACACTGTCCCGAATCTCAGAAAATCCAGTTTGTATTGCCTGGAGATTGGTGGTGATCACACAGCTTCCCAAATGGAGAGTCTTAAGCCCAGTTGACGGAGTTCCCAGGAGATAAAGCACAGCACAGAGCAGACCAGTGGCAAGACCAGAGCCTTTCATCTTATGCCTGGAGTCTGGAGATCGCTAGCTGAGATTTCAAATGGAAAGAGCATGGTTTACTGATTTCCTCACCTCATCCTTAAGGAAGCCACTCCAGCCACCAGGGAATGTCTGCCCCAGATTCCTCTGGGAGGAAACTGAACCACCTTATCTGTCTCCAAAAAGTGTTGCCCATTCAGACACTTACTAAGAAAAGCTCCCCAAAAAGAAGACTCCGGCTGTCTGTTCAGGGTCTGAATGTGGGGTGGTACCACAGTTCCTGTCTCCTTTATTCTGTCCCCGTCCCAGCTCCACCGTCATTGCCCAACAGGTAAGGCCTGGAGCAGCAGACACTTGTAGTGAATCGACAGAGGATGACATTTCAGGAGAAATGTCAAAACTTGTTTGGGGCAATTGACGTAGACAGCCTTCCCTTCCAGAATCCCAGTGCCACTCACCCTTCTGGTCCCCTTAGGCCCGCAGGGAGAACTGGTGTAAAACAGTCTCACAGAAGCTGTGGCTGTGCCACCAAAAACACTTCAGAGAAAATTGCCTGGTTCTTTTTATGGCCACCCCGCAGGGCAGGGGAGCCTAACTCTGTTTGGCATTTGTCTGAGATGAGAGTGGTTATTTGAGAATAATGGATTCATTTCAGCCCCAAAGGCAAATACAAAGTCAATGATTTCATAACAATCCTACTGCCAGAGAAAGGCAAGACCTGATGAGCAAGCGAGGGGAATCCACCTCCACTTCTTCCTGAGAAGCCTGGCACTCCACAGCACCCTCTGCAGGAGGGCTGTAGTCAGACACTCCTGGGGTGGATCCAAGAACATGCTCCTTCCTGGCCCAGAATCTCAGGCCAGGGGCCAAGTGAGTGATCCCAAAATAAAGAAAGGCAGTAAAGCAACTCATGTCACTTTGGGGTGAGGCTGCTCAGTAAGAGGGCAGTTTATAGTGTCTGCTGAGTTTTAAAATAAAATGGGGCTGGGGTTAGGGTAAGGCAAGCGATGTTGCTTTAGGGAGAGGTGGTGTGCAAAATTTAAAGGGACATAAAAAAACTTAGTCATCAAGATACAAAGTATTTAATGCAATATCAAAATGCATAAAAATCCATGATCATGATGAATGAAATATCAAAATCTTAAATAATTGCAGAATCTGACAGTGCCTTGTTGAGCCATTGGGACAAAAGAAATAATATAATATATATTATTAATATGTTTTCATGTTCTGTTTTTTAATAGTTAACTTTTTTTCTCAAAACTATATGATAAATCTGGTAAAGTGGCTCAAGTGGTTGAGTGCCTGCCTACCAAGCGTGAAGACTTGGGTTCAAACCCCAGTATTACCAAAAAAACAAACAAAAATATATGATGAAAACAGTATCGTTTTCTTCCCTTAAAACAAGTAAAGTAAATTTATAATAAATATTATTTGGGGCATAAATGAAATATTTAAAGTTAAAATGATGTTGGGAGTTGTAATAAACCTACTATTTAACTTTGTCAACTATTTTTAATATTTTGGGAAAAATATCACATTAAACATAAATATATATGTGGATACATGTATTTGTATATATGCATGTGTGTGTATATATACAACCTTATATATATTCACTACGTACCCACACACTGTATGTACACTACACACATACATATTTACATGCATATATGCATATTTGGATACACATCTTTCCCTTCATCTTGGCTCCATGGCTTGGCACACACAGCACTAGTAATCTGTACCACTACTGATTTTTTCTGTTTTCCAGGCAATTTGCTAGACACTTTTTTACATTTATGGCCACCTAAGATACTGCCAGTTTTAAGAAAGGGAATAAATAAAGCAATCTCAAAAGAATCAGAGAGAGCAATGCATTTGGATATAAGAAAGCTATATAATAAATCCTCACTCTACAAGTTCCCATCTCTTTGACAGTTGGTCCAGTTTGAGGGAGGTTCCCAAGATAGAAGAATGAAAAGCAACAGGTAAACAAGAATGGGTTGGCCACCCTACATGTGAATTTGGACAAGTCAACTCACCTCTCTGAGTTTCATTTTCTTAGCCCCAAAATGGTGCTAATTAAATGTATCCCTGAAAACTTGTCTTGAGCTCACATAAAATATGATTTATACATCTAGTATATACAAAGTGATTGATTCATTCCTTCCCTTCTTTTTTTTGAGGCAAGATCTTGCCCTATAACTCAGGCTGGTCTTGAACTTGCTGTCCTCCTGCTTTAGCCTCCTGAGTGCTGAGATTACAGGCATGTATCACCATGTCCAATTCAATTGATTCATTTTAAGTAGAGAATGATCTTAGTTGCCTTAAACTTAGTGGGTAGTAAATCTATCATAAATTCAACAATTCCATGAATATTATTAAGTACCCACTGTCTTGAATGTTGTGCTAGGTACTGGGGTACAAAGGTAAACATGGTAATTCCTTGTCCTCTAAGAGATTCCACCCTCATGGAAAAGTTTCTTTTGGACACAGCCCTCAACATACCTGGGCAAATGATTGGGAGGACTGAGCCAATCCCCAAAACCATGTGAGAGGGTTTCTTACCTGAGCTCAGAAAGGGCTGCTGCTTCTAGTCTCCTGGGAACCTTTCTCAAGCTGAGAGACTGGCAGTTGTTTATATATGTCACATGAAGGAAGTGAGATAGCACAGGTGAGGACTGGAACTCCCTTGGAATTTCTCTGGTGGCATACCACTTCCTCAAGTCCTAAGGTAGCTTAATTGCACGCAGGATTACCCCAACACCTTCCTCCTCCAAGAAGCACTGCCTGAGGGATTACTGGTTGCAGCAGTGGGTAAAGGATGCATCTCCTTGTGGTTCCAGCTTCTCACTGGGTAAAATGATAGGACAAAAAATATCTGAATTATAGAACCAGAAGAGAATTCTTGGGGGTGCCTTCACCTGCTCTTCCAAATCCAGTTCTCCTTAAACAACTTTTTCCCCAACCCCAGACATTGTGAGCTCACAGTTCCTGCTGTTTCTCCTTTGCTTTTGTGTTCTCACGGTGGCTCTTCAGCATGGTGAGACCCCAGTGCCCCGGAGTCTTCCTTCTATTCACCATTAAAGACGAGACCCAGATCCTTTATTCCTGCACTACCTTGCCCTACAGCAACCCTCAGTTCTCTAACTCCAATGCAGCTTTTTGTGTGGCAGATGAGAGCATCTCTGCATCATGGGCTTTACCCCAATGATACTGGAAGATTTTCTCAGACAGGGGCTGGTCCCTCGCATGGGACCACACTTCCAGCAAGGTTAAATTCAAAGTACCTGGGATGAATTACTGACAGTGTTAGAAAAAATATAAAGATGGTGGAACCTATACAATAAGCCTGCTTTATTAACGGGTTTATTACAAGTGATTTTGACCAAGTGTAGTCAAAAAATAATGATAAATTTTAAAAACCAATAGACATTTCAAAAACATAAAATTTAAATTCCCATGTGCATATTACAAACTCAATGGATGCACAGAAGCTCTGTCAGTCTTGTGTTGTCAGTTGTGTTTAAGACATTTTGTGATCTGCTGAGCATTTCCCTGCCCTAAATTTTGTGAAAATCTGCCTCCCCAAAGCACATGGTGCCCCAAAAGCAAGGTAAAAGTTAACATGCTTAATTTAGGTGATGAAGTGAAAATTTTAGATTTGTTGAAAGGAGGCATGTCTGGCAGAAATTGGGCGGTGTTATAGGAAAGATGAATGAAGCATCTTCAGTACTTGAAATAGAGAACATGAAGTAAGATCTAGTTTTGGGTGAGCAGAATTGGGTACAACAGTAATTTTTGTGACAGTCGTGTCACCTCCGAGTTATAGAAGCTCGTGCCGACTGTCTCTACAGTGTAGGGAAATTTGAATAAATTTGGAGTACTAAACTGCATCTTGAGCATTCATGGTTTTTCCCCAACAGTGGTCTCCTGGGAACTATATACCTTCAGATATCGAGAGTCTACTGTAGCATGTTCCTTTTTGACTTTTTTCCTACTCAATATCTAAAACTCTGAGGCCCGATAGCTGAGTCCAAGGAGTCTACAGTTAATGGAATGACTTGGGTGTACCATCTTTCTCTGGATTTCAGTTTATGAATCTGGAAAATCAAAGAGTAAACAGCACACAAACTCCTTTTCAGTTCTGGCATCCCGTGACTCTTTGCTCTTCTACCTTTTGGATCCAAATGTTCTTTTGAACATCTTTCAATGTTTTCCTGAGGTTCCCTGAAAGTAAAGACCATGACTTGTTATTGTAATGCTTGATAAGCGTGGGAAATATGTGTGGATACCTAATTTAAATATTGCTTAAACGATTTAAGCTCGTGCTATTTTTCCATCACTGGCACTAAGTAAACAATTTCTCCTGATCATCTGTGTGATTAAAGTAAAATTGGGAAATGTGCTCTGAGAAGAATACTTGAAATCAAGATTTTCAGTAAATCTAGGCTTTGGATAAGCTATACTCATACTGTTCATTCATTTCCATTAACCAAGAAAAGAACAATTGCTTTGTTTTAAGCTATCTATAATGCTTAATTAAATTCAGTTATTCTTGCACAATCCTAATTTTATTTTAGTAATCAAGTATTCTATTTTCCTACATCAAAATATTCTTTTTTCATTTTTTTGCATTTATTTTCTTTTCCCCCCATCTGTGATGAAGTATAATTGACAAATTAAAATTATGTATTCTTATGCTATATGACATGATTTTTTAAATACATACACATTGTGAAATGATTATCACAAAATACTTTATTCTTGAAAAATCTAATGATTCAACTAATCTGTTCCATAAAACCTCCCTGCTATATCCTAACCCCTCCCTTTACTCCCATTTCCCAAGGTAAAATTAACCCTTCCTTCAACCTTACCTTATAGATATGCCTTTTTATACTTATCACAGACAATTACAACTTTTTGATTACATATCTGTGTCTCCTACTACCCTGAGAGTTCCTTGTTCATCTTACTCTGTTAAAACGTGATAGCACTGGTTTTTGTTTGTTTGTTTGGTGGCACTGGGG